ATAGATAGATAGATAGATAGATAGATAGATAGATGATAGATAGATAGATAGATAGATAGATAGATAGATAGATAGATAGATAGATGGATGATAAGGCCTTCCTACTCTCAACCCACAGCTCTTCTAATTCTAAGGAACATGTTTGTTTTCCTGTCATGCATCTTCTGACTCCTTCACCCCAGGGAGCACTGTAGAGAGATTGGCTCTCAGCTAATTCCTTTCCTTCCACCTCCAAATGCAGCAAATTATTAAATTCTGGTTGGCGTCCATGTCACAGTATTAGGGGAAAAAATTTTTTTGCTAAGTCTCTCTACACTTGTGGGTGGGAAGAACAGCAGTTTACTCGGCCTTATTCTTTCCAAAATGCCTGTGTCTTGAAATGCTTTAAGTAATTGGATACCTAAGGGGAGCTGCATTCTCTCCCGTTTCAACTCCTTCGGCTGTATGTAAAATATAAAATAAGTACATATCAACATTAAATAACAGGAGGGAAATTTTGTGAGGAGAGCTTCTTCCAGCTCTGGTAATTAATTACCACACTGTCAGCTGAACTCCAGGCCCGAAGCAGAAAGTGTGCTAAGCCACCGGCTAATCCCATCACGCGTCTTGTCGTCGGTATGAAAACTCTCACTGTTAATAACCCACCAGCCAGGGCTGCCTGCAGACACCTCATTTCTTTACTTTCCTCTTCTCAGTTTCTGATGTGAGTAAAATGATCCTTTTGGGCGTAGAAGCCAATAACTAACTTCTTTTTGCTGTTGTTGTTGTTTTGTCTCTGCGGCACAGAATCTGAAGCGTGTGGCTGAAACCTGGATGGATGAATTTGCTGAGTACATTTACCAGCGGCGGCCAGAGTACAGGCACCTCTCCACCGGGGACATCTCTGCCCAGAAGGAGCTGCGCAAGCGACTCAAATGCAAAGACTTCAAGTGGTTCATGGCTGCGGTGGCCTGGGACGTGCCTAAGTACTACCCTCCGGTAGAGCCCCTGCCAGCGGCGTGGGGAGAGGTGAGGAGACCCGCCCTACCTGTGAGAGCATGGGGCGGGGCAACTACACCCATCCCTCCACCTCAGAGTCTGGGAAGTGGGAGAGACTGCTAAACCCTCCCTCTTTTCTCTCTCAGCCCAGCAGGTTAATTTAAAACATCCCCAATAAATGGGTGCCTAACTTCCTTTTAGAAAGTGCTAGAAGTAAACATCCGCCCCTCAGTATCGATATCCCATCCAATAATTAGTGAACACGGCTAATGAAGCTTCAAACAGATTTTTTTTAAATATACTCCCCAAAATATTTTAACTTCAGATTGGCAGAATTGCCATGGGAGCTCATAGATAATGAAAACAAACATCCTGTAAATAATCATGATCAGGTATCAGATATGATAAAAACTTGTGATCAGATGTGAGGAAGTCCCTCACTGGCCTCTGAGCAGCCTTATTATTCTTTATATATTCAAGGACAAAGCAAAGAAGCTAGTTTCCTAACCAAGGTGTACCTTGTACCATCAGGAAGGAATGTAAGGCATGTGGGAACCCCATTGGTTCCTTAAATCAGCCTAACCTCTCTGCTTTTCAGCACTCTGACCTGATTTTTTGCATCGTGATCTCAAGTGGAAAGATCCAGATAGCCTCAGGCCCCACATTTAAAACCTCCATCTTTGGGAATCAAATGGATTATTCCGCTTCTCTGTTCATTCGATACTATTACTGTAGCTTTTTCCCTCTGGAAAAGAGTGTGCAAAAGCAAAGACTAAGTCCAATAGGGTGGATTTAGCCTAGCAATTTAACCTGCTTTTAGAAGTAGCAAGGGCAAAGGCTGGCTGGGCTGTGTGTTCACACCATCCCAAGGCCGACTGACTGCCAGGCACTGTGTAGAAGGCTTTTTATCATTGTCTGTGGTCTTGTGGTGTGCTTAAAATCTCGTTACCTCGTTAGTGTCAATGGTCACCCAGCTCTGAGAAACAGCTACTTAATCCAAGTGAAATGAAGGGCTGGAAACGGCTACTTGTCTAGAATACACAAAACCCCGCTTTTATCCTCAGCATCGTATGAACCATGTATGATGCCCTGTGCCTGTAATCCCAGCACCCGGGAGGAGGAGGTAGGAGAATCACAAGTTCAAGGTCATCTTCACACATATATGAGACTCTCTCTCAATGATGAATAACAAGATGTAACTTGTATGTTAGTCAATTTCTTAAAGGGATGTGGAAAAAAAGAGTAAGTACATAGAACATATCTGTGAGAGAGCTTTACGTTTTTCACACTCGTGTGATTTTTCTTTCAGGAGACTTTTTTTTGTCTGTTTTTGTGTTATTTTGGGAGGTGGGTTGCCTAACTTCGCTTTTTAAGAGAGGACCTGTTATATGTAGCTTAGGTTGCCCTCCAACTCATGAGCTGCCTGCCTGGCATGCAGATGTCATTACTGTGTCTTGGTTGGGAGTTATCTTAAAATAAGCTTCTTATTTTAGAATAATTCTAAGTTTATAGACACATTGTGATTGTGATATAGAAAGTTCAGAGACATCCCATACCCAGATGTTTGTACTAATGGCATTTAGTATTTCCCACATTGACTGGCAGATTATCAGCTGAATTGATTTTTATTGGGACAATAGCACTTATTAAACTATGGTTTATTTAGATTTAACCAGGTTTTATACCAAAGTCTTTTTTACTTTCCAGGACCCAAGCCAGTATCTGAGAGGGCTTTGTAACATCCTCCAAACTTCAAAGTGATTGCTAGAACAGATGTAGCTCATAAGCAAGGACATTAGGTCAACCACTGCTCTCGTAAAACATCGAAAAGGGCACTGCAGACACTGGGTCTTTTACAGGAAGGGACCACAAAGCAACAACAGCAGAAACACAGGATCCCTATGGGAGTCCTGGGCCAAGAAGTAGGGAACCCGTGGTCTCACTCAGTTATACTCAGAGTCACTTGCCGCGGTCGGCTTCTCTACCCCATCCTGATTCTGGGTAAACAGTTACTAGGCAATCTCTGGTTCTGCTTGTTGTAACTTAACCAGTAAGCAATATGTTACAGACCATAACCAGCTCTCAGCTATCTCCCAGCTCATTTCCTGGTTCTTCCTCTCTGCCCTGAAGATTATTTTCAACACAGACTGTTTAAGATATGAAATCAGTCCATTGAAAACATTTCAAAGGCTTCTCTCTCTCTCTCTCTCTCTCTCTCTCTCTCTCTCTCTCTCTCTCTCTCTCTCT